ATAGATAGATAGATAGATAGATTGATAGATAGATAGATAGATGATAGATAGATGATTGATTGATTGATAGATAGATAGATAGATAGATAGATGATAGATAGATGATTGATTGATTGATAGATAGATAGATAGATAGATAGATGATAGATAGATGATTGATTGATTGATAGATAGATAGATAGATAGATAGATGATAGATAGATGATTGATTGATTGATAGATAGATAGATAGATAGATAGATGATAGATAGATGATTGATTGATTGATAGATAGATAGATGACAGATAGATAGATGATAGATAGATAGATGATAGATAGATAGATGATTGATAGATAGATGATAGATAGATAGATAGATGATAGATAGATAGATTGATAGATAGATTGATAGATAGTCTTGTTTACTGTAATTTTTTATATTTTAATTTTAGTACATAAAGATCAATTTTATTTATTTTAGTTCAGGTCAAGAATTGTTGTCGTTATTCAAGCAACGAAAATGTTTTAGTTCTAGTTAACCACAATAACACTGATTCTGCTAATACAAGTCTTATTTTTTTCTTTAAATGTTTTTTTTTTAAAGATAAAATTATTGGTTATTGTTTTGTTTTTAAATGTAGATAGATAGATAGATAGATAGATAGATAGATAGATAGATAGATAGATAGATAGATAGTCTTGTTTACTGTAATTTTTTATATTTTAATTTTAGTACATAAAGATCAATTTTATTTATTTTAGTTCAGGTCAAGAATTGTTGTCGGTGTACTGTGTATATTTATTATGTATATATAAATACACACACATACAGTATATATTTAGAAAATTTTTACATGTTTATACATTTATATAATATATTCTTATATTTTATATTATATATAAATGTAGTTAATATATAAACAATGTATTTTTCTTAAATATATACATGCATATGTGTGTATTTATATATAGTACATAATAAATATACACAGTATACAGATATTATCTAAACAAAAACTTTTATTTTGGATGCGATTAATCGCAATGAATCGTTTGACAGCACTAATATATATATATTCAATTTTAGTAAATCAAGATAAACTAAATGAAAATGTGAAATAAATTAAGTTTTTTTTTAAATATCATATTTTATTTCAGTTAACGTTCATTTCAAGTACCACATTTTTTTAAATGGTTTTCGTTAACTATAATAACCCTGATTAAAAACAAGTCTTATTATTTTGTGTTCATTTTTTTTATTTTTTCCCCCAGTATTTGATTTTATTCTGAATTCAGATTATTTTACTTGTTTTAAACATAAACAAGCATGCATTTATTCTAATCTAATTTATTCTGATCTAATCTTTTTAACAGCTCTTTTTGCAGTGTACTGTATGAGGGCAAAGTCGTATAAAATGTATAAAAAAGTTGAACTGTAAGAATTCCTGTATGTTTTGATAAAAGCAGCGGGAGAGCGAGAGCAGATGTGGGAGATGGAAAGCCGACAGCATCAAGAGCATGTGTGAAAGTGCCGCTTTGGTTGTTAGCATTCAGCGCGCAGCGCCGCTATCCCATACTGCCAGTCTCCAAGACAACGGCCTACTTAGAGCCACTACACAGCACTACAGGCGAAGCTCTGCCAGTCACGTGGGCCGCAGGAAGAGCGCTTTTGTGTGTGTGAGTGATATAGAGGAGGAAAGGCTGAGCTGTGCTGTACCTGAACACTGCAGGCGCTGCATAACCAGCCAAATGTGTAGTGAGACGGCCATATGTCTGCAACAGTCAGACCTCAGACAGCCATCATGCAGGGTTTTCCCCCCTGGGCTGTTGTCTCATTCGCTGACACTGTATGAATCATCAATATTCGGTCTGTTGGATTGTTATCCTGCATTTTTTTTTTGGAATCATACGAATTGCATTTGTTTATATCTTAGAAATTGTGTCATGGTGTAACGTTTGTTGCATTACTTGTCTGGTTTAGTCTTTTTGGGTCAGAGAATTATGTAATTCAGTCTGTTATGCATTTGAAGGGGAAAGCGTGCATTAAAAAGCACCAGATTTATGGTCTGACATATTTGTCAACTGATGTGTTGGGGGTTTTTTTTAGTGGCTGATGCCAATTTCTGGCAAAAAGGGTGGTCTGAAGGCTAAATAATGCAAATTAATGATTGCTGAAATCAAACAACCTTTTATCTTATTGATTTATTCATAAAAAATTGAAAAGTATTATCCGTAGATTATGCATTAGACTACTGCAATGAACCACGGCTTCTTGGGGCTTATTGCTTTAATTACAGCCTGGTTTTGGTTTAGTTTCTGTGGTTCAGTTTAGCCTGGGACTGAGTTGAGTTTTGTTTGTCTGATATTAGTCTGTGTCTGATCTCGACTGTAACTCTGAGGTGCAGCACTAGGGTTTTAATATGGGTTGTGAAATCCCTGTTAGACGTGAAGGTGTGCTGTGAAGCTTCAGATATAATAGTATCTGTCTTGACTCTCTCTCTCTCAGATGTGATCAAGCTTCAGCTGGTGGATGCTGGTCTGGTGGAGTGTCTGCTGGAGGTCGTGGCTCAGACGGTGGACAGCGACAGGGAGGAGGACGTGGCTCAGCTCAAGACGGCCTCAGACCTCATGGTCCTTCTGCTGTTGGGAGGTACAGGACCAAACCTCTGACAGAACTCAGATAACCCTTAAATAAAAGCCTTGAGAGAACAATAATGCACGTTACATGTCATTTCCTCTGTGTGAATAAAGCAAACAGTCTCAGATGTGATCAAGCTTCAGCTGGTGGATGCTGGTCTGGTGGAGTGTCTGCTGGAGGTCGTGGCTCAGACGGTGGACAGCGACAGGGAGGAGGACGTGGCTCAGCTCAAGACGGCCTCAGACCTCATGGTCCTTCTGCTGTTGGGAGGTACAGGACCAAACCTCTGACAGAACTCAGATAACCCTTAAATAAAAGCCTTGAAAGAACAAACATAGGTGCATGCAACAATAATGCACGTTACATGTCATTTCCTCTGTGTGAATAAAGCAAACAGGGCCTTATAAAACGATAACATAGTGTCAAGCTATGACTCATACAGTGTGTTTAATTAATGAAGTGTGCTATTCCTGTGAACGTTCATCATTTCTTTTAGTCTCCCAGCAGTTATATAAACGTATTACCCGCTAAATAGGAATGCACGTCCTTTTACCTGGAGAAGGAAAGGCTGAAGTGAGGCTTTTGTGGCTGATGTGTAATTCACGTCATCAATATTAAACACTAGCTGAAAGAGTTGTGGGGCATTAAAAAGGACAGAATGTACTGAATACTGGAGGCTGGATAATTCCTACACTTCAATTCAAAAGTTTGTGTTCGGTAAAATGTTTTTTTATGCTCACCAAGGCTGCACTTATTTGATCAAAAATACAGTAAAGTAGTGAAATATTATAACAATTTAAAAAGTCTTTTTTATATGAATTTATTTTAAATTGAAATTTATTCCTGTGATCAAAGCTGAATTTTCAGCATCATTACTCCAGTCTTCAGTGTCACATGATCCTTCAGAAATCAGTATAATATGCTGATTTGACGCTTAAGAAACAATTCTGAATATTATCAATGTTAAAAACAGTTGTGCAGCTTAATATTTTTGTGGAAACCATGATGTTTCTTTTAAGGATTCTCTGATGAATAGAAAGTTCAAAACAACAGCATTTATCTTTTGCAACATTATAAATGTATTTACTGTTGCTTTTAATCAATTGAATGCATCCTTGGTGAATAAAAGCATTAATTTAATTTATTTAACCTCACACTTGAACAGTAGTTTGTTCCTTCATTACAAACTTGATAATCGTCTAGTTTGTAGTTTACATTTCTTTCAGCTCTTCTTTTGAAAGAAGTCAGGGTGCTTTCTGGTTCCCGTTCAATATCACGTTTTTTAGTAATAATGCTCTGAAAAGGCAACTGAATTGAAGAAAAAAGTACTTAAATGGGCTTCAGAAGATGTTCACACTCCATTTTCTCTTAATCTGAGTACAGTTGAACTATCTGATTTAGGCAGATCATACTCTGAGAAACCTGATTTCACTCATAACTTAAAAATGGACAAAATGTGTAGTTAATGCGTTTTGCCTTTTGTAGTGTGGCATAAGTTCACTGCGCTTTCTGCTGAATAAAACAGCTAAAACCTGCCTTGCTGGTTCACTGACATCATGATGAATGATAAAATCATTAACAGCCAGTCAGAATCCACTCGACTTCCAAGAGCTCAAGCATTTAAAGCGGTAGAAGACAAAACTGCAGCATGTGCTTATAATAAACAGAACGTTATCATCTGTTGATTTGGATGATAGTTCATATATAATGATAGTTAAGCGATAATAGTTTTGTAATTTGCATCATTGTCATATTAATGTATTTGTGTTGTTGCTCATGTGTGATGTGTTTTCCTGTAGATGAGTCGATGCAGAAGCTGTTTGAGGGGGGCAAAGGCAGCGTGTTTCAGAGGGTCCTTTCATGGGTGCCCTCCAACAACCACCAGCTCCAGCTAGCAGGAGCGCTCGCCATCGCTAACTTTGCCCGCAATGGTGAGACTTCAGCAGTGTTAGGGAAGGTTACTTTTTAAAGTAATGCATTACGGTACTGCCTAAAAAGTAACTAATTGCATTACTTAGTTACTTTTAATAGAAAGTAATGCATTAAGTTACTTTTGCGTTACTTTTTCTCATCTGGGCTGAGCTTGCCTGTTTGTTTTTAATATAAAAAGTTATATTTGGTGGCGAATATCACACCAAACTTGAAATGAATAAGCCTCAGGCTGAATAAAATGTAAAATAACATCTGTACAGTAGAGGGCACAGCTCAAACAAACCTTTCAGATGTGCTGCCATTCTGGATTGCATGAAGAATAGGACACAGGAGAAGAACAATCAACACTCTTCAGCAATAAAAAAACAATGAAACACAAATGTTATGGTTGTGCTCATACGTTTACGTACTTCTTGCAGAATTTGCAATATGTTAACAATTGAAACAAAATAAGAGGGATCATGAAAATAGTGTTCTTTTTTATTTAGTACTGTCCTGAATAAGCTATTTCACATAACAGATGTTTACATATGCTCCACAAGACACAATAATAACTGAATTTATAAAAATGACCCCATTCAAAAGTTTGAATCTTAATACTATGTATCATTTCCTGGATGATCCACGACTGTTTTTATGTTTTGTGTTAGTTGTTCATGAGTCCCTTGTTGGTCCTGAGCAGTTCAACTGCCTGCTGTTCTTCAGAAAAATCCCCCAGCTCCTGCACATTATTTGGTTTTCCAGCATCTTCTCCATATTTGAACCCTTTCCAACAGTGACTGTATGATTTTGAGATCCATCTTTTCAAATTGAGGACAATTGAGGGACTCATACAAAACCATTACAAAAGGTGAAAACATGTACTGATGCTCAAGAAGGCAACACAATGCATTAAGAGACTTTTTAAATGGGATGATCAGGGTAAATTGTACTTATTTTGTCTACTGGGAAACATGTAAGTATTTATGTAGCTTCTGAAGTCCAGTACTAAATTAAAAAATATGATCGTTAAACTAAATGAAAAGAATTTACACATTATCATCCTGTTCAAAAGTTTACATCTTAATGCATTGTGTTGCCTTCTTGAGCAATGTAATGTTAAAGTTTATGTAAACTTATGAGCACAACTGTATGTTTATCTAAAATCATTTTTGCTTATTTGTATGGTTAAACTGGATCATCAAAGGTCAACTGCAAAGACATTGGTTAATAAAATAGGGATTAAATACATAAAGGATATTTGTGCTTTTTAACATATTTCATTATTGCTGGTACATCATATTCTGTGAATACTGAATCTGTTTTTCTCCAAGTGAGATTAGTAAATGCATGTTCACAATGAGTTAGGGCTGTCAAAATGGCTGAAAAACTAAATTCTAATTTTGTACTTAAATATTATCAAAATATGCGTAATTTCAGTTATGGTGAAGAAAAGCTTTTGGCTTCTCTTCTGAGGCCACAAGAGGGCGCATCGAGCTAAATATTACTAATGCACGTTTATTCAAAGCATAAGTTAACATGACTATCTGTGAAAAAAGTGCATAATGTTTAAAATAATGTTTATAAACCAATTATAATTAAGTTACTTAAACAACTATAAACAAAACAGCATCACGTATGTATGCATAGTTTAATACAAAGGGCGAAAAGTCAATCACACAGAGTACATTTCTCATTTAAAATTAAAAAAATGAGATGCAGTGGGATGGTGGAAAAAAAACCTGCCATAAAGTCTCTATATATGTTTTTTCCAAAGTTAAACTTGTATTAATTTGACATGGCTTTCTAAACATGCGGCTCCTTTGTGCGAGACGCGAGTGCAAAGGTGATAGATGTCCCTCTAGAAAATGTGCGAAATATGCGTTGTGTGTGAACGGTTTGGTTTCAGTTTTGATGTAAACGAGATCTTCTCCGCATTGATGTTCTCTTTTTCCGCAATATTTTTAATGAACAACGCAGCTGCGCCACATCTAGTGGCTTCAACTGGATAGGCTAACAAAAACATTATAATGCAACGACACTTAAATCGTCATCGCATCTTGTGCGCCACTATGAGGCTGCCTCCTTAACACACACCTAAAATTCGAATGCAATGATTTTGCATTTGAATGTGGATTTTTATTTTAAATTCGACGAATATTCGATGTAACCTACATTGAGTTACAGTAAGCATCATATTAACACAGCGCATTTGATTTCTCTCAACATGGGGACAGGAGAGCTGTCCGTCAACAAATGAGAAAACAAAGTAACTACTTATTTGAAAAAGTAATTCGGATATTTTCTTGTAAATGAAAAAATTATTTGTTACTTTACTAGTTACTTGAAAAAAGTAATCTGATTACGTAACTCTATTTACTTGTAATACGTTACCCCAACACTATTGATCCGTCCAGCAACATGACGATCGCTCTGTTGAGAGTGTAAATAAGTGCACCTAAAATTCGAATGCAATGATTTTGCATTTGAATGTGGATTTTTATTTTAAATTCGACGAATATTCGATGTAACCTACATTGAGTTACAGTAAGCATCATATTAACACAGCGCATTTGATTTCTCTCAACATGGGGACAGGAGAGCTGTCCGTCAACAAATGAGAAAACAAAGTAACTACTTATTTGAAAAAGTAATTCGGATATTTTCTTGTAAATGAAAAAATTATTTGTTACTTTACTAGTTACTTGAAAAAAGTAATCTGATTACGTAACTCTATTTACTTGTAATACGTTACCCCCAACACTATTGATCCGTCCAGCAACATGACGATCGCTCTGTTGAGAGTGTAAATAAGTGTTTTTTTTGTGTACAGATGGGAATTGCATCCACATGGTAGACACTGGTATCGTACAGAAGCTTCTCGAGCTGTTAGACAGACATGTTGAAGAGGGGAACGTGACGGTGCAGCATGCCGCCCTCAGTGCTCTGAGGAACCTCGCCATCCCGGGTCAGTCTGAAAGTTCACTCAATCATTGAATGATTCACTCACCTGTGCATGAGTGTCTTAAAACTAAATCTGCTCCATCTTCTTCTCTCTTCTCCAGTGGTTAACAAATCTAAGATGCTCTTGGCTGGTGTGTCGGATGTAGTGCTGAAGTTCCTCAAATCTGAGATGCCTCCAGTCCAGTTCAAGCTTCTGGGAACGTTACGGATGCTCATCGACACACAGGGTATTAATTAACTGAAAACAAAACGACTATCTACAGATAGTTCAGCCCCAGAATCATGCCATTGGTTGAGCTGGCGTTGCTGTGTTGGCTGGTTGTGATGCTCAAACAAAATTTGTTAAAATTATACAATTACCTATAATTTGAACTATATATCAATTAAAAAAAAAACTACTTGATTATTGTTTTTTTATTTTTTATTAAGTATTATTGATTATTAATTATGATTTCCTGTATTAACATATCCTTTTGAAACCGTAAGTTGGGACAGGCAATCCCTTTAGTTCTTTAGGGGTCGGGACAATACCATTCTAAAGAGAACGTCCAGCAACATGACGATCGCTCTGTTGAGAGTGTAAATAAGTGTTTTTTTTGTGTACAGATGGGAATTGCATCCACATGGTAGACACTGGTATCGTACAGAAGCTTCTCGAGCTGTTAGACAGACATGTTGAAGAGGGGAACGTGACGGTGCAGCATGCCGCCCTCAGTGCTCTGAGGAACCTCGCCATCCCGGGTCAGTCTGAAAGTTCACTCAATCATTGAATGATTCACTCACCTGTGCATGAGTGTCTTAAAACTAAATCTGCTCCATCTTCTTCTCTCTTCTCCAGTGGTTAACAAATCTAAGATGCTCTTGGCTGGTGTGTCGGATGTAGTGCTGAAGTTCCTCAAATCTGAGATGCCTCCAGTCCAGTTCAAGCTTCTGGGAACGTTACGGATGCTCATCGACACACAGGGTATTAATTAACTGAAAACAAAACGACTATCTACAGATAGTTCAGCCCCAGAATCATGCCATTGGTTGAGCTGGTGTTGCTGTGTTGGCTGGTTGTGATGCTCAAACAAAATTTGTTAAAATTATACAATTACCTATAATTTGAACTATATATCAATTTTAAAAAAAACTACTTGATTATTGTTTTTTTTTTTTAAATTAAGTATTATTGATTATTAATTATGATTTCCTGTATTAACATATCCTTTTGAAACCGTAAGTTGGGACAGGCAATCCCTTTAGTTCTTTAGGGGTCGGGACAATACCATTCTAAAGAGAATGTGATTGGACAAAAATTGGCCACAACCAGGTTGTGTCATCAGTTTTTTTTGGTCCTTTTTTTCCTGAAAGAGATTTATTTTTTAAATTGTAAAAAAAATAAAAATTCTGTAAAATATGGATATTCATACTTGTTTATTTTCATTAGATAAGTATGGATATTTTAGTAGTGTATGTTATTTATATTTTCTATTACTCACTTATATATACTTATATTTATTACTTTTGGTCTATTACTATTACTATTGGTCTTGTGTCTGTGAAGTTTCAGCCCAAAATACCCAACAGATAATTTAATATAACAGCTGGAAAATATCATTTTTGGGGCGTGTCTAAAAAAGAGCTGTTTTGGTGTGTATCACTTTAAATGCAAATGAGCTGCATATTCCCGCCCCGTCTCCAGAAGATCATATCTGCATATCTACAGCAATAAACAGCCACTAGAAGCAACATGACTGAGGGCGAGATTTAAATGTAAATGAGCTGCATATTCCCGCCCCGTCTCCAGAAGATCATATCTGCATATCTACAGCAATAAACAGCCGGTAGAAGCAACATGACTGAGGGCGAGAGAAGCCAAATGCGCTGAAAGTGGGACAAAACAGCGCAATGTTACAGAGCTCACGCCGCGCTGACCTGTCATCGGCACGGATCAATTGACCGAGCCGCGCTACCGAACGAATCTCGCGCTACGAACGGCGCGAACTAATCTCACAAGCTCTGCGCTGATCAGTTAAAAAATACTTCATGTACGCACACAAATATGGTTAAAACTGTTGTTTCACAAAAGTTGATTTTGCTTAATAGGTGCCCTTTAAACAAGTATGAATATTATATTATTTATATTTTATATAGTTTTTTTAATATTAATTACTTTATTATTTACTAATACTAATAAAACTAATAAAAATGACTTAAAAACACATAACAAAATTACTAAAACTTGAACTAAAATTAAACTGACCACTGAAAGTATAAAAATAAGAGCTAATTCACAATCATTAATAAAGTATTTAAATAAAATATTAAAATAACACTGATTTAATTGGAGCTTTAAATGTGTATGCCTGCTCAAATTGAGCATGCCGATGACCACGAACAAACATGAGCTAAAAGCCACAAAACACGGTGCTTGATTTCATGGATTTTTAATTGAAGTTGATAAGCTTACAAGTCCCTGTATGTTTTACAGCTGGTTAGCTCAGTCAAAGACAGCATGTGTGATTTGATCTCAGGTTCAGGCTTGTCCCAGCTGCTGCCACACAGCACTCAGTCTCTGATATTAAGTGAGCGGAGGATCGATGGCACTCTGTCATTTAGTAACTATGGATCTGCAGACAAGGGCTCCGCCACGGACAAATTTGCATTGTCTTTTATTGGCAGTGGCTCAGCCGTGTTAGCTTTCAGTGACAGCTTGGGTTTAAAACGAATATTCCAGGGTAAATACAACTTAAGCTGTATCGACAGCGTCTGTGACAGTCTGTCAATTACCACAGAAAATAATTTCAACCCATCTCGAGAGAGTGTAAAAAAAACAATGACTGAAATATGTGTGTACAGCTATGAATGCCTAACAGAAATATGCATCTTTTACAGTGTTTAGAAAGTACACTACTAAAAGTTTGGTGTTCAATCAGCATATCAGAATGATTTCTGAAGGATCATGTGACGCTGAAGACTGGAGTAGTGATGCTGAAAATTCAGTTTTGCGTCACAGGAATAAATTACATTTTAAAATATATTACAATAGAATGCATTTCTTTTAAATTGCAATGATATTTCACAATATTATTGCTTTTACAAACGACCCGCCTGTGGGACGTTTGGCGCTCTTTTTTATGTTGTTTTTTTCTCTATCAAATCTTTTAGTAATCATCATAAATCATATATCATTTGAAAGCTTAGAAGCCCAAGATTCATCACCATTTCGAAATCAGACATTGCGTTACCATGGAAATGGTACTTTAAAATCTTTTGGCAGTCTTCTTCCCCTTAGTGGGCAGTGTCAAGTGTCATATTACAAAATGAATTACTTTTTTTTAGAATCAAAACTTTTTATAATCTTGACAAAAAACATATAATTGGAAAGGTCTGAGTCTGAGTTATTTTGGGATAGAAGTAATATTGACAGAGAAATCTAGACATTTGTGACAGAAAAATGCATAAAAAAATTCAATGGAGTTTGGATGGCACCCGGTGGCTGTTTGTGGTATAATGCCCTAAGTATAATTTCACAGGAACCTCCATTTTTTTCATATCAACTTCAAATTTGGAACATAACTTATTTAGACATAAGGATATAATTTTATACCAGTTTTAGAGTAAAATAAATATGATATGTAAAATATTTATTATATATAAAATAAAATTAATATAGTGCATTTTCTTTACAGTAAATTTAAACTACTATAACTTTGATACTTAAATTATACATTTTAAATGTTTGAAAAAAATTCCACTTTTGCGATAATTTGCTGATTTTCTTCTTTAAAAAGAGACCAACCTTATGTCTGTATTCCAAAGTGTTCATAAATTACAACAATTTAAGTTTGGATAGTGCACCTGCATGCCTATTTTAAAAAATGGGGGGTGACAGTTAAAGGGTTAAGAGGAATGTGCTATGAAGGATCTTCATGTAGCTACTGTACATGAAGTATTAAAGTTGCAAAGCAGCACGTCCTAAAATAGCAATTCCTAATCCACTATTCGGGGGGAAAAATCTAATTGCAATTTATCTGATTAAAAATTGTGTTTGCTATTTAAATTTCATTTTAAGTCTAAAATACTACGTATGAAACTAAATTATTTTTGTTTAATAATATTAAACAAAATTATTACAACTGCTGTAATATTCAACTATATTTAAAAATAGAAAAATAATATTATTTATTTTACAGCACACTTAAAATACCGATATTTATGGCTGTCTTAATTTCTTAATTTTCAAACGATAAACCTACAAGCTTTTATTTTTTTGGTAGAAAACCACAGGGAGACCTTAAAGGGGTCATATGATGCTTTTTTAAAAGATCATTATTTGGTGTATTTGGTGTAACAGAGTATGTTGACATGCTTTAATGTTCAAAAAACACATTATTTTTTCAAATACTGTACATTATTGTAGGTCCTCTATGCTCCGCCTCTCTCAAACGCTTAGTTTTCTACAAAGTCCCTCCTTCCGACAAGCGCAGTCTGCTCTGATTGGCCAGCTGACCCAGTGCATTGTGATTGGCTGAACACCGCAAGCACTCGTCGGAAATGTAACGCCCCATTCCATAATCACGAGCTTCATCTTTCAAAATAAATGTAAAGACAGAGCCCGAAAGGAGAACAGAGTCGCGTGACAGACACAGTGATGAAGCTGGTATGTGTTTGCAGTACACAAGCCACGGTTAAGACAGCAGACTCCACTGTGATGTGACCCCCCCAAACCCCCCTCTCTCTCTTGCTCTCTCTCTCTCTCTCTCTTTCACACACACGGCCTTCTTTCTTTGCGTGCACATTTGGACAGCATTATGCTAATATTTCCACATAGTGAGGTAGATATGTGGGGGCGTGTTAGAATGAGCCGTTTTAGGGGGGCGTGGCAGAGTCTTAACTTTGATAAAGAATATCTCTTTGGTTTTGAGACTTTAGTCTTTGCAACTTCAGGGATCTTATCTATGCACAATCAGCTTGTAACACTCCAAAGAGAAAGCAAAACTTGAAATCGCATCATATGACCCCTTTAAAGGTTTTCTTTTGTTGACAACAGCCAGTTTATAAGTGCTTTTCATTCCAAATTTGGGGAGATTAACAGGAAAAGAATTCCAAATTAAGAAGAGAGAATTTTGAGATACTGAAAACATGGGTTTGTGAGTTTATGCGTTAATAAACACAGTGCCATGCTTCGCTCTGAAACATGTTGTGCATATATTTATTTAATTAAACCTCAGACTTTACGATTTGATAATTGCACTAAGCCTAATTTCTTTTCTTCTGATTACTTGAGCTGATTATGATTTTTTAGTATTAACTGGAGACATCTATATTTTTGCTGAAAAATGTTGTTGGTCCTCATTGAAATCATATCTTATATTATAATATAATGTCTTATATTATATATATACTGTATGTGTGTGTGTGTTGTAGCATGTGCTCTATGGTGTTTTGTGTTCAGTAGGTTATGTTTATCGCTGTGTGTGTGTGTGTGTGTGTGTGTGTGTGTCGCAGCTGACGCAGCAGAGCAGCTGGGGACAAACTCAAAGCTGGTGGAGCGTTTGGTGGAGTGGTGTGAAGCGAAAGACCACGCTGGAGTGATGGGAGAGTCCAACCGCCTGCTGTCCGCTCTCATCCGACACAGCAAGTCAAAGGTCTCGCACTCAAGCACTTCTCTCATTTAGGGCCCTATGGTTTCTGTGATGCAGAAAACACGGACGGAAACATTGTCATAAAAATTGAATTTACTGTATAACGCAGAATGGCATGGAATTTGTCAAATTTTGGATGAATAAATCAAAAGTAGGTCAGCGCACTTAAATCAATTCACGATATGGACTAATGTCTGTGAATATTAAACCACAAAAAGACTATTTATATACGAGTCCTGCATGTTCTGCATGAATGAACTGTCATGGTTTTGTCTACTGCACACATACGGAAGCATTTGTGACGCTCGTGCTTTTCAGTGTCTGCCGACTCACAATATGAGCACATGAACTTCATCTCCAGAGCTGCGCTGAGAGTCATGAGCATTTCACAGTTTCATTTCAGAAAGTCTGTCTTCATATCACATACACACAGAAGCTTAAAGGTCTTCATGGCAACCTATCAAAATAAAAGTTTGGTTTAACTTTCGAAGCAATGGAATATATTACTATTGTACATTAGAACATACGTCTCAATATAATAATAATAATCATAATAATGTTATTAGTTGTTATCAAAACTTGTTTTTTTAAGGAATAACCACACAATTTTTCATCCATGTTTTAATTTGAACTCTGTTGTGCAGCACTTTGACTAGAAATAAAATAAAAAGGTTTGCTTAATTTTAGTTTAAAAGATAAATTAACATTTTATGAATAAAAAAATAAAAATAAATAATCATAGAGCCCTATAATTGTAAGTAAATAAATAAATGGTTACTTTTATGATTACAATTAATTAAACATGCATTTTGATTACTAGCATTTTATTTCAAATGTAATCAAGAAAAGTTCAAATGCAAAAAAATGAAATCCAGAAAAACTGAAATGGGAGGAAAAAAAACTGAATTTGGAAAAAAAAATCAAACAGATTTCATAGGGTCATTTCAGTGATGGTGCAGCGCTTTGACTAGACGTGCGTCATCAAATACTGTGCGAGTAAAAAATCCCATACGTACCATGTAAACCTTTTGAATTAAACGTGAAGTTTTAAAGTAGAAAGACTGAAATAGTATGCAAGAATATTTTCTTGTTAAGCGAACTCCAGTAGTCTTTGTTTTATTTAATCTTAGTTTTTTGTTTTGTGAATGCATGTTCTGATTTTGTCGTTTCATGCTGTGGATGATTTTTCCATGGCAGATTCACGTCCTCTGGAAGCGTCTGACTGCTGTTTTCTTTCTGAATAGAATGTGGTCCGAACAGTTATACAAGGTGGAGGTGTTAAGCACTTGGTAACCATGGCGACGAGTGAACACATGATCATGCAGAATGAAGCGCTGGTGGCCTTGGGTCTCGTAGCGGCACTAGACCTGGGTAAAAATCTAAGACTACTGTATGTTAGGGTGATTTCAGGTAAACTGTGACACTTTTTGCCATTGAGATGACTGGGAAAATATGCCCCAATTATCCTGAATTAACCCTACATTTATTTTTAATGAGATGCTGACAGACCTGATTTCAGTGTTACTTGTATACTTTACAGAAAGTATCTTATATACTCATATGAAGTAATGTTGGTATTGCTTATATAGTTTTCATTTTAGTTTTAGTTCATTTAAAATTGTAGTAATTTCATTGTGCTTTATATATTTATATATGTGACCCTGGAGCACAAAACCAGTCATAAGGGTCAATTTTTCGAAATTGAGAGTTATACATCATATGAAAGCTGAATAAATAAGCTTTCATTGATGTACGGTTTGTTATGATAGGACAATATTTGGCCGAGATCCAACTATTTGAAAATCTGGAATCTGAGGGTGCAAAAAAAATCTAAATATTGAGAAAATCACCTTTAAAGTTGTCCAAATGAAGTTCTTAGCAATGCATGTTACTAATCAAAAATGAAGTTTTGATATATTTACGGTAGGAAATTTACAAAATATCTTCATGGAACATGATATTTACTTAATATCCTAATGATTTTTGGCATAAAAGAAAAATCTATAATTTTGACCCATACAATGTATTGTTGGCTATTGCTACAAATATACCCCAGCGACTTAAGACTGCTTTTGTGCTCCAGGGTCACAAATTGTTGTTTTATAAAGATATTTATATATATGCACAATTTGTATTTGTCTTACAAAATTGATCCCAGCGACTTAAGACTGCTTTTGTGCTCCAGGGTCACAAATTGTTGTTTTATAAAGATATTTATATATATGCACAATTTGTATTTGTCTTACAAAATTGATTTCAATAATTTAAGCCTTTAGTGACATCATTTTTACATTTATGCATTTAGCAGATGTTTTTCTAAAGCATCTTGCAAAAGAGAAACAAAACCAGTTCATCAAAGAGCCAACAATATTCATAACACACAATGCCGGGCTTTTAAAAAACTAGATTAGGAAACAAGTTAGAGGAGAAATGCAGAAGAAGTGCATTTGTTTAAGTTATTCAGAACTTTTAACTGAGTCACTTCATGGTTTTGATTTCAGATTGCACAGAGAAGGACTTTGTCGGCGCTAATCTGGTGCAGGTTCTACACAAACTGCTGACAGATGAACACAGTGCACCGGAGATCAAATACAACTCCATGATTCTCATCTGCTCCATCATGGGATCAGGTGAGTCAAGAGATCACCGAAACAAATCCTTTAACGCATTCACAAGTGTGGGAAACTATTGAACAAAAAGCCTGTAATTCTACCCTCTAAACCAGTGTTGTTATTGTTAACTATAACTGAAACTATTAAAAATCATTATGATTGACTGAAATAAAGCTGAAATAAAATATAAATGTGACCCTGGAGCACAAAAGCAGTCTTAAGTCGCTGGGGTATATTTGTAGCAATAGCCAACAATACATTGTATGGGTCAAAATTATTGATTTTTCTTTTATGCCAAAAATCATTAGGATATTAAGTAAAGATCATGTTCCATGAAGATATTTAGTAAATTTCCTACCGTAAATATATCAAAACTTCATTTTTGATTAGTAATATGCATTGCTAAGGACTTCGTTTGGACAACTTTAAAGGTGATTTTCTCAATATTAAAATTTTTTGCACCCTCAGATTCCAGATTTTCAAATAGTTGTATCTTGACCAAATATTGTCCTATCCTAACAAGGTCCAACCTTAGGTCAATGGAAAGCATATTTATTCAGCTTTCAGATGATGTATAAATCTCAATTTCGAAAAATTGACCCTTATGACTGGTTTTGTGGTCCAGGGAACCACAAATCATTTAATCACAAATATTAAATGAAAATATGAAACAAAAAATTTAAATTGCTTTAGCAACTAGCTGAAATAAATTAAAGCCAAACAAAAAAAACCCCAAAAACTTGCATCTTAAACATGTTACATTTAAAAAAAAAAAAAAGAAAAAAAAATGCAATACACGCATTAAGCTGTAAATAAAACAACGCAATTAAGATTATTGGAGGTTGTTTTACAAGAAAATACTATTTCAGTCATTCTGCTTCAAAATATCATTGTAATTAATCGTAAGTGCACTAACAATTTTTGAGTGAAAATTGCTCCTAGACCATTTAGATGGTGACATTTTAGAAAACGATTTACTTTCATAATGCACATTCCTAGTCTTATTGTGAACGATTCATCCCTACCTTATTCCAATTTTTTACAATGTTTTCTTCATAATGTTATTTTTTTATAACTTTTATCATTTACTAGTTTAAAGGGATACTCCACCCCAAAATGAAAATTTTGTCATTAATCACTTACCTCCATGTCGTTTCAAACCTGTAAAAGCTTTGTTCGTCTTCGGAACACAATTTAAGATATTTTGGATGAAAACCGGGAGGCTTGTGACTGTCCCATTGACTGCCAAGTAACTTACACTGTCAAGGTCCAGAAAAGTATGAAAGACATCGTCAGAATAGTCCATCTGCCATCAGTGGTTCAACCGTAACGTTATGAAGCGACGAGAATACTTTTTGTACGCGAAGAAAACAAAAATAACGACTTTATTCAACAATTCGCATCACTGTAGCGCCATTTTGGAGAATAACCAGACTGCCAAGTAACTTACACTGTCAAGGTCCAGAAAAGTATGAAAGACATCGTCAGAATAGTCCATCTGCCATCAGTGGTTCAACCGTAACGTTATGAAGCGACGAGAATACTTTTTGTACGCGAAGAAAACAAAAATA